TTCTGTGACACAGCGGATGGGACACCTGAGGGGCCGCCCGGTTCCCCATCAGAAGAGCCCAACAAAGGGTGGAGGAGGAGCCCACAGCGAGCGCCCGACGGAGGAAATACTTGTACTGTACTGTACTCGTCTCGAATCGACCAGGTGGCGGGTATAAGGCGGAACTGTACCGTTTCCGCGTGCTAGTAGTGCTTGTTTTTGCCCTACAGCCTGGGTCTCTGTTTTTCTTTTTCTTCTTCTTTTGGTTCGATACTCGGCTGCAGGTGGACACTTTGGATGGTAGATGTACCTAGGTCGCCTTCTGCCCTGGGAAGCCATATTAAACTGCCCAAGCGAAGCAAGGCGTCACGCGCGAGGTCTTCGGGGACGGGAGCATAGCCCGATGAGCCACTCTTTGTTGTGTGATTTGTTATGGCGTCTGCTTGTCTTGATTATGGTTTGCGTCCTCCTTGCTATATAGCCCCAGTCCTGTCGCTCCTTCGCCCGCTGCCTCATCGTGCGTGGCATCGTATGTGTTATGTTTAAAGTGTACATGGCGCGCCCGCTCACCCAGTGTGCATCGATACTGGACGCACAAGTTAAGCTTACCAAGGTGCATTATGCCATTGCGCCTTGCAACCTTGGCTTGGGAGACATGTTGCTCACGAGCTTATTACGCTTTCAGCAGGCGGACGGACGAGCTAAAATGACCATGGCGACGGATGAGCAGCACCGAGGTGCACTGGCGGCGCCCGGTGCGCTATTTCTGGGCACTGATAGCGTGCTAACGCTGGGGGGGGGAGGCGAGGAACCCGCCCCCAGCGGCGTACAATAGGTCGTGGACTTCACCGCCGCTGATGACTTGCCGCATGGGGTGTGGATTTCTGGCGCGGGATGCCCCCCCTCAGAAACAGCGCCTACAGGTACTTCCAACGCAGCGATTGCAATCATCGCTTGTGTCACACACACACCTGCAACCCCGGCTGCCCCGCCTCAATCTCCAACGTTACATGCGTGGTTCGTAGTGCCGTGTCAGGACTTCTACTTGAGAAGAAGAGGAAGAAGTACATGGAGAAGGAAAAAACGGTAAGAACAAGATCATCGAGGAGGGCACCAACTTGGGTAGGGGGTATGTGTTCTACAGTACTGCATCAGCTGAACCATTGCTCCCATCTTGGTTTCGTTGCCCGCCGCCCCGATTGATCTTCTTGCCCAAACCAAACCGAAGCTTGGAATCGGAGGGTGGGAGTATGCATGACTGCTCACACAGGTGTCATGATGCGTGGCCCATGACAGGATCCGCCCGTCACCGCCCGCCCGTTCACCGTTCTTGTCTTGTCATCAGCCCTCCCAAAGTTTAGCCCACACAGTCTGCGTATCGATGGGTAGGGATCATGCTTCTACAGTACATTGCCGCTTGATGGACCCTTGCACCGCAAGTCGACACCCCCCCTAACCTCTCGTACCCCCGTTCTCTTTCAGCCTCTTCGACCCCCAGACGAAGGTGAAAGGAAGGGCAGAAACGCCGCCCCCTGTGATTCCCCGAATCCGACCCTCGGCTCCCAGGAACAAGCCCATCAATGGCGTCGGTATTCTACTGAAGCGCGCTAGCGGGTAGCCATATTGAGCGCCTGATCATCCATCCGAGATTTGGGTTTGCGTATGCCCCCCTCCATCAGAAAGAAGGGAATCGGGGACGGGGGGGGGGGGGGGGGGGGGGGGGGGGAAACCCCCCCACCCAAGGGCGGGAAAAAAGCCCCAAACCAAAATTCCCCCTCACCTTGCTTAAGAGCCCCGGGGGGCAAAGCACCTGTGCGCTAAAGATATGGTCAGTTTGGTTCTTTTTGAAAAAATTTTGGG